GATGTGCCGGTTAACCACACACGCTCCACCGATCTATAATAAAGTCAAGTTACCCTTTGCCACTCTTACTAGTCCATGTTAGTGTGCCAGTTAACCACACACGCTCCACTAACGACTTGGTAAGGTACAAAGTGTAATTTTATGGGCTAGCACCAATTTCACATTTTCCTAAAGTAACTAAGATTGGGAATTTATAATGTATAGCTAATTTATAATTCATTATACTTTTAATGAAAATTTAAAGTCGTATCATACCCGTTCGGCTAACGACCCTCCACCTATCAAGGAAGCGGTGGGTGAGAGTGGACACCCATTAAGTCACCATTTTATAGGCAACAACCTTATACCCCCCTTATAGACCGGTTTCGTGAATGAGGCCTACTAACGGTAAGAACGACATATTCTTATACATATCTATATAATAAAATTATAATAATAGTATAAGTGTTGATTTTTAAACCTTTTAAAAATCTAAGGTTTAATTTTGGAATTAAAGTATTAGAGTGTAAGACTTTTCAAATTCCAAAACTTGAGGGCAAGAATTGAAACTATTCCAAGTCTCTTCAATTTTGTAACTTATGAGTTTTAATGGTTCATAAAAATGAAGACTCTTCATTTTATGAAACCTCTTTAGTTCTTTAAACACAAATTAAAGAAGTGACCTTTGGTTATCCATAACTTGAGGACAAGTTATGGACACCATCAATACAATTAAGATCAAGAATTAAACACACATAGTGGTTACACATAATACCTATGATCTTCTAAAAACTCATAAGAACACAAATTCATGTCAAGCAATTTCACGAAATCATATAAACATATATAATACTTTGAAATTGTTAAAATTCATGTAAAATGGATTAACATAATCATTATCATTTTGAAAAACAGATTTTACAAGTCCAAAATCGATTGGGATAATGATTCTAATCCATTTCCAGCAACAAAACTCGAAAAATCTTCCCAGCTCGATCCTACTCGGCGAGTAGGATGAATTTGTTCATGGACTCGGCGAGTCCTCCCCATGGACTCGGCGAGTACAGTCATCAGAATGCAGAATTTTCAATTTTTCAAGCAGTTTTGCATCAAGTATACAGAAAACAAACCTGGCTCTGATACCACTGATGGGTTTTGAGCATTCTAACACTTCCTAAGTGTACATGCAACCCTAATAACTTTGAATCTATGTTTTCTCTATATACATGCAAATTTCGTTTTCAAGGTTATTTCCTAACTAGCATGGCATGGGGAATATATGAAACATAAAAACTAGTAGAAAAAGATACCTTGTTGTTGCTTGGATTCCTTTGAGACTTTGTGAGCCTAGAACCCTAAATGTTGTGCCTCAAATGCTTCACACAACACCACAAAACTTGGAATAACTTGAGAGAATACTTGTAGCACTCAAAATCGGTTATGCCCTCTCTAGTAACCTTACTAGGTCCGATTTTACTAGCCAAAGGGTTCCTTTTATAGTGGTGTCAAAGTTAGGGTTTTCACATGAATACTTGTAATTGTCATGACTCTTCATTTCTCATGACCCATGGGTTTGTAACTCCCATGGACTATCCATGGAGCGCCAAATGGTTACATCCATAACCCATAAAACATGGATCATTAATCCACCATAAAAGAATTGATGATTGTCATAATCAACCCTTATATATTTAATTAGTCTCACTTTGATCACAAAATTAATACTAGATTAATACTTGATCAAATACTAATTAAATGATACTATTATTAATATATTAGAACTTATAATATATTAATAATCATAAGTGCCTTATTCTCTCATTTAGTCTATCCAAGTATTGCAATGTCATGCAACCCAAATGGACCATGCCGGGTCGGATCAAGTACATACCAAATAAAGTTATGGACATAGACACTATATCCAACAATCATGTTAACTAAATAAACTAATGAAAATCACATTCGAATTTGTGGTGATTTTCAATAGTATAATACGTGTGACAACCCGAAAATGTTTTTGTCACGATAACCCGTTCCCGTCAGCGAAACCTGTCTATCTTTCAATTTTTCCGCTAACATTTTGGGTTAGGTCATTTAATTTAAGAATTTCATAATGACCTCGTGAGTGTCCAAATCCATTAGTAATGCGTGAAAACACCCCAAATTATTAATTGGAAAACTTTTAGTTTCGACCGCGTCGGTTTACGGTAACTTAATCGGGTACGACCAAAAGCCCCGTTTCACGTTAGTATCGGGTAAAATTCCACCGAGCCCCAAACCCAAACCATATATCAGGTTGAGTGGGCTTCATTTGAAGCTTTTACACACACACACTCTCTCTCTCTCTACTCTCTCACTACAAACTCAAGTTTGATCCAAAAATCATCCAAATCAAGCTCCAAATCAGTAAGTTATCCATCCTAGCTCATAGATTAGCAGGTTTAGCATTCAAATTCGTGGTAAAATCATGAAATAGGACCAAGGACATGAGTATTCAGCCCTGGAACAGCCTTGGGCTGCAAACTCACATAGATGGGGTTTTTGAGCCTCAAAACCCTTCCAAACCCTCACATAGATGGAGCTTAGATATGACTTAGGGGCTTACAATACTGGACTTGGAACACCTAAACCTTATCATTTGAGGGCTAAACAATAGTTTACGGCCTAAGCACATGCTTGGACCGTAAACACCATTTCATAGGCCGTAAACCCCTTTAAAGGTGTTAAAATGCCCCTTTAGCACCTCATAAGCCTTGGAATAAAGTCTAGAACCATCCAACAAGGTGTTAGGGACCTTGAACATGCAAGAAACCACCCCCTAAGGAGTTCACGGCCGTAAACCCCCCAAGCAATGGTTCATGGGCCGTAAACTCCTATAAGGTGGTCAATTGGTGCCCTAACTTCTTTCCATGGCTTGTACTTTGCACTAGAAACTCTTGCAATTGACCTAGGACCACCAAAACACATTAATAATTGATACATAAGAGTTTACGGCCGTAAACTCATAGTTTACTGCCGTAAACTCCTCAAATGGTCCCTATGATGTTCAAATTCCATTCAAATGCCTTAAAACCAAGCCTAGCATTAACCCACAAGAGTTGTAAGACCACTAGGCACCCAAGAACACCCCTACCATGAGTTTCTGGCCGTAAACTCATGGGGGAGTTGGTCATCGGGCTGAAAACTCCATTAGGAGTTTACTCTTGAAGAGAAAACTCCATATTCAAGCCATACACACCCTTAGATGCTACCCGGGTCACTCCTAACACTTGAAATAAAGTGTTTTCGTGCTTCGTAGTGTATATTCTATTCTAAATAGTAGTTCAAAGTCTAATTAGATACAATTATGTATCTCTTCATATTACATAGGAACCTCGCGTGTTTTCAAGCCCCGAATTGACGTTTAGCATCCAAACCGACACATCCCTCGATTGGTGAGTTCACACCCCTACTCCTTTTTCAGTGTTTTTCAAATGTTTTTAGGGGGGAATACAAGCAAAAGTACAAGGAAAACTTGTACTCAAACTTATTATTTCAGTTCAAATGTTCATATTTTGTATGCTTTTAATATCGAAAAACCATGTTAACCAACAGTTTGATTTCCAGAGTTAGCTTTCAGACTAATTGGAGATTTCTTTATAAAATGTTATAATCTATGTTTCATCTTATAATTTTACGAAAGATTCATGCTAATCATAAACTAAGGTTACTACTAATAAAATACACCTTCGGATAGTATTAGGACTTCGAAAGTACAACTAGGGAATGCCTTTGGATGGCACCAAGACTTCGGAAATACAGCTAGTGTACACCTTGAGTGTCACCAGAGTTTCAGAAATAATTCGAAAGTACGCCTTTGGATATCGACAGAGTTTCGAAAACATACGCCTTTGGATGTCGACAGAGCTTCGTAAATACGTCTAAAACACGCCTTTGGATGTCACAAAAACTTCGAATATGCAGCTAGTGTATGTCTCTGAGTGTCTCCAAAGATTCGAAATTCCGAATAAGTATAGTAGATATTCAACATTCATATAGAATAACCAGGCTTTCAGAATACTTACCTAATACTACAAGTATGATAGATACTAATGCATTGCATTCCAAAGCAAGAACTAACCACGAATTTTAGGAAAATAAGGGTTTTTCCTGGGATAACAAACTGTTCATAACCAAACTGTAGAATAAACGAATAACTAAACTTACAAATAAGAAAATATGGGATTTTCTTGGATTACGAACTATTCCTAATTTGATTATGTAATAAACATATAACCAAACTTAACTTAACTGTGTAACAAGCGGATGACTAAACTTGCTTATAAGAAAATATGGGATTTTCTTGGATAACGACTTTTTCAAAAAAAACCAAAGGAAACTTGTTCTTTTACGAAAATAAACCGCTTATGAACTCACCAGCTTTATGCTGATTTTCAAACTGCTTGTATTCTCAGGTCCACATTAGACAGGTACACAGCGATCTTTTGGAGAAGACGGAGCGTATAGAAGATTCGTCTTAACTTTTGTTCATATGATATATGTGTATAACACTTGTAGCACTTTGTTTTCAAACAATGTAAATATTTCTATATAATGTAATGGTTGTGTTTACTACACTTACTATGTACATTGGTTGCGATACTACATGACGTCCTCTGCCCCGGAACTATTTCGATTTATGTACATTGAAGATTTTCATGTAAGTACATTAATTTAGAGTATACACAATACATAGTTCAATGATAGAGTGGAATGAGATAACATACCTAATTGGAATTCGATGTATCAAACTCTATCATTATAAATTATCATGTTCGCATTCAATGATCATTGAGCGTCTAAATGGGAAAAAGTAAACCTTTTAACTATTGAATGTCTAATAAATTAGATTTTATAAATATGTTCCATTGAAATTTATAGAATCCAATGTATTATAGAAAAATTTTAAAAGAGTTGTATGGATGGTAAAATGATACTGTAACAACCAATTAAAATCTAATGAGTTCACTTCATTATAGATGGCCTAAATAATTACAATTATTAATTTGGAAATGTCCATCTTTTTTTATCACAAGACATACTCACTGAATTAAGTGTATTGTGAAAGACATTTATAAAGGGTATTGTGCATAAGATAGATGGTACTTGAGCATGTTTAAAATAATGCTTATGAACAAATTATCCCAAATACACATTCATATGATGATCATGTGTGTCTTTAAGATGAAATTTTCCTTAAACATTATTAGTTTTTTTTTTGGAAAATCCCAAAATATATTCAGGGAAACGGGTTATTCTAGTAATACATCAAACAATATCCCAACACTAAGTTCAGAAGCTCGAGCAAGCTATATTTTGCATGATATATCTCTAAAAAACTATCACCCGTCTATATTCCATGTGTAGATGCAAACTAAGCTATTTTTTGTGTATATACGATAATCTCCATAAAATGTAGCTCAATGTCTCCTCTCCCTTTCTAGGCTTCCAAATCATGATGTGCATTTGCAGCCTCTCTAGAGCGTTCCCGTTCCATCATCGCAAAAAATGCATGTGGCGCCCAACCTATATATACATTTAAAGTCAAAATGGTAATTTTGCATACATTTAGATGATGAAAATTAACAATTAATAGAAAGAAGGCCAAACAAAGTACCATTTTCGTGATTCGGGAATGGGAAGAACTGTAAGTAGCAAAATGCAGCAACGACCGTTCCTGTATATATAAATAAAATATGGTCATTTGGAATATGTTACACATTATTTTTTAGGGTGATTTATTTTTTGAATAATTATACCAACTTTTCATGGCAAATAAATCGTTTTTCATTATGAAATCACTAAAAGAACACTATAATATGCAATAAGAAACATTTTAAATCCCTTTTAATCACAAAATGAACACAATCAGCGTCAAGTCTAGGATATATAACCATGTGTTTTTCCTATTTAAGTGAAACTAATAAAAATGAAAAGGTGAAAAATACTAATGGTGGATCGGATGTATGTAGTGTTGCGAAAGTTTGACAACTTGATCGAGTGCCCAATGAGTTAGTTAGACTCGACCCTCTACTAATGCAAGTTTTGCATATACTCAATCAAGAAAATTGAAAATATTTCAAACTCAAAAAATAATGAAAGATTTAACCTAAAAAACCAATCTTTCTTTTGACAGGTCAACATTAAACCAATAAAGACGGTTCAACATGCGAAAATAATATTTAAGTGATTAAAACTGGTTTAAACTTGAACCAGTCTAGGATTTTAATCATTAACTTTACTCAATAACTTCACGTAACAGTTGGAGTGGAAGGTGTAAAACTTAATTACTTAACAATCCTTAATAAATTTCTCATAATCATTTTTTTATAAGTAACAAAAATCACATAGGTTTTACTTCGCTGTCGATGTGGCTCAAATTATAAAAATGGTTAATCTTAAAAATTGATCATCCACTTTGATCCAATACAATATAAAGATAGGTCCTATGATTTTTGTAAAGATGGTTCCTAAATTTATTCCTAATTCACCATAAGCTTTAAAAAATAAGATAGATAATAGGACTCACCTACCATGTATTTAACTTCGCCCTTGCAATAACGTGCAATAATAATCATTTTAAATCCTTTTTATCAATGTTATTTGGATAACCAATCTTTAAAGTTATTTTGAGAATATGTTGTTGCATAATACTTTTAGGGTGGTTGATTTTTCAAATAATTAATTATACCAACTTTTCATGGCAAATACTCATTTTCTTTGAGAAATTACATAAAAGAAACACTATAGCATGCAATAATAAACATTTTAAATCCTTTTTATCGTTTTTAACATTGTTTGAATAACTAATGTTTAAAGATATTCTATATGAACATATTTTTTAAAAGAAATAAGAACAAATTTATAAAAATAATGACTTATAAATGGGGAAGCATATTTTCTCAATTAAATCCTTATCTATGCATTAAGTTATACAACTTACTGAATTAAATTATATCCAAATTCAGTTCAGCAATTTAAAAAGGAAAATACCATTATACACACACCAAAAAAAAAAAAAAAAAAAAAAAACTTTCAAATATCTTTCTGAATTTTGTTCATATAAATAAATATACCCAATTAAATGGTGATATATATAACATTTAATGTGTATTTAATAAAATTTAATATTATTTTAACATACTAATATAACAAATTTCATCATTTAAATAGTTTAAATTGGTAAAATAATTTATAATAATAAAAATAAAAGGATATTTAAAGGGTGTTTGGGATTGCTTTTATAACAATTTTAGCTTTTAAATTTTTCAAAAAGTTAAATAAAATCCGGGTATTAAAAAATATCTTTTAAAATAACTTTTTGTATGGAAAAAAAATAACTTTTACCCAGAAAAATACAAACATCTTTTGAAGATTTTCTTGAAAAATCAATGATTAAAAAGTTTTTTTAAAAAGGACTTTTAACTTAAAAAAGTTTTTCAAAACACCTCCTTAATTTCTCTTTATATATATTTATTTGAAGTATGATTATTTTTTTAAACCCTAATATATCTTGGAGTTCCGCAAAAAAACAATTTAAATCCAGGATTCTCTTCATAAATAAAAGTACAAAATAAATAAAAGTTTAAAGCCAACAAGAATGTGCAAATTACCTATGATTGCTCCGGTAAAAACGTCTGTCCAGTGATGCCAATAGTCATCCACACGACTCACTCCAACAAGTGCAGCGAAAAGATATGGAGACACAACGATACAGAGGTTTGCAGCATGACCTTTGTTATCAAAGGCTCTAAGTTTTCCACATAAATACCAAGAAAGGAAGCCAAGACCCGCAAAGGACCCTGCATTAATCTTTTTTATTAGATATATATATTCTTTAATTATTTCATAAACTATATATCAAGCTCAAAGAAAAAAAAAATAACAAATCAAGATTATTTATACATGAAGTGTGCCCGCTAGGAAAGCTCTTATACCCTTCCTTAATTATCATTTTATCTCCATGGCATTTAACATCTCCATCCTCGCCGAACTCCTACACATGTCATGCATGAATCAGAATTTTTATGTTGTTCTCGTTATTTCGTTGTAAAATGATCAAGCATTAATGTGTTCGTAAAAAAATTTAATAAAAAAGAAAGTGCAACTTTCATACCGCTCTACCATCAGGAAAACACCTATAGAAGAAATTTGGTCGTGGTCTACCCGTGGCATCTTTTATCGAATCAGTGATAACTGCGGTTATCAGAACTGAGTAGAAAAGACCTAAACTTCCACAAGCAGATATCATGTTAATTACTAATGTTTTTACTAACAGGATCTAACAAAATGTGACAATTTTTGGGTCACCAATAATTGATGAATTTTAAAGTTGTAGCTAAAATTTAAGAAAATGGGTCACCAAAATGTATTAACATACTTACAATTACCTGGTAAATTCTTTTTATTAAACCATAGTTCATTATCTTTATTATAAAAATTTGTAGTCATATTTAATATTATCGATGGGTCGATTTTGGATCATATTTATTGAAAAGATAAAAAAAGGTAAAAGACTCACCAAGGACAGCATGGTGTAGATCATAGACATCTCTTCTACGCATGTAATACATGAGGAATACCATACATGGTAATACTCCTACATATAACTATAAATCGAAACAGCATCAAGCTCATTGTTATTTTTGTATACACAAAATTACATTCAAGTAAAACTACATTCTCTTTTCGTTAAAATAACAAATTAACTAAAACATACCGGAACTGCATACATAGGAATGGTATCCTTTTGGTAAAATGGATATTTCATATCGGTCATCATTTCTTCCCCGACATAACGATGGAAAGGTTCGATAAGGTTTAGGAACAATTCGAGTGATACTAAGAGCAAAAGGACCAACCAATCATGCATATGCTCTCTTGCGAGTTCTTTGCCATGGGACTGAACAGTGTGAGCTCCATTACCCGTCTGACTCTCTGACATTATTACGACTTTAACCTATATCCAACATAAACTTCTGTCATTAAGATGTTACACATGCATCATGCATGTAGCAGAAACATGAATCTCACGTCGTGTTTAAAAAACAACAAAATGATACTGTTTTGTAATAATGGGAATCACGTAATTAGTTATGTATGCACCTACAGTTTCCTCTTTTAATATTAAGAAACAAACATATACACGATGAGTGAGTCAACCAGGGGTTCGTGGATGTGGTTGCCCTCTCACCAACTTTTTATATTAATATAATTACTTAGAAAAGGTTGGTATAATATTCTAGAGGGAATGTATATATATACATATATATACCTTTAGATAAAGGGATAAAAGCCAAGAGAGTTCAGCGGGGTAGGGGAGGGGGGCTCATAGAATGAGGGCAGTGTCCTGGTGGAGATGGTTTTTGTTACAGGATACGGAGTTTAAGAAATGAATGTGGAAGAGACTTGTACATTTGTAATTTCCAATTATGGGTACTTGGTTCTACAACAAATTCGGATATAACATTCCTTCTATTGATTTTCTAAGGTCATAATTCCAATACAATTCCTTGCATTCCGCTCATGTTTGAATCTGTTTGGGTGGTTCTCCATTGTTTGCTCACCATTCTATGATTCTATCATAAAATGAACCGAAGTAGCACGAAGTTAACTCAACATTGTCCTTAAATTTGATACCAAGAAGAAAAAAGTTGTTGATATGAAACTAAAATTACCAATAACGTTTATCAACAAAACTGATGAAGCAGTTATCGTGCTTTTTATTTTTTTTTTAAATTGTGTATTTCGTAAAAATGATTTGACAATTATACATTTGTACTTTTGCAGTATATCAACTATAATGTTTTGTCTAATTTTGGTTGAATAAATTCCCACAAATTTTGAGTTTGAGATAATTGGCCACACTACTAGAAAAAGGGGTGTTACCGACAGAATTTTAGCGATGGAAAAATCCTTCGGAAAACAGTGACGTCGGAGCACTGATGGATTTCCAACGGACTAAAAAAACTTAATTATAATGATTTTAGCGACGGTATTCCAACAACTTAACAACAAAATACATTCCGCCGGTAATCCGTTACAATATACCAACAGTTTACCAACGGAAATCAACAAATTTATAATCTATCACTAATCTGTTGGGACCCCAGCCAGGGGCTCTGCCCCTTGGACCCCACTAGGGGCACTGCCCCTAGACCCCACCAAAGGGATGTTGCCCCTTTGGAAACCCCGGATCCAGGGGCGATGCCCCCGGACCCCCGACTAGTCGTCGAATCGGCTTCTAATTCGATCTTATACATGTGTGCACTCCACACAACCTCCCATACATATATTAGAGTATAAATTATGAAGCCCTTTAGATCAAATGTTAGTTCCAGTTACTTAAAATGACATGATGATACTAAAATCACCAACATAGTTTGTATGAGATATGGAAGACGGCTTGAATTATTACTCACATTGTGCTTGAATTGAATAAGGTTTTAACATTCTATGGCTAGCTAGGCATCAATTTTGATCTCTCATGTATTATACGAGAATATGTATATGGCTACTTGAAACTCTTTGTATCTCTTTTTCTATTTCACTTGTTTGACTACAATAGTTTCTTTTCTTCTCACCTGTTATGGTTACAAGTGGCACATATACCTTTGTGATATACTCATATTTAGTGCTCTATTATTGCATCTATGATTTTTTCTCAATCTTGGCTACTAATAATGCTATTTTATTTTGATCAAGAATTCGAATTCAGTGAGTCAAAGATTGTTGAGTACAAAAACAAACCCTTATAAGAGCTAAGAGATGGGACACTACAGGTTAAATACCCGAATGGTATGTTGTGTCCTTTCTATGCGGGAAAAAATAAACAAGACTTCAAGTACAAAGACCTACATCAACAAGCTCCAAGGGCAGGCAAAGGTTCTTCTAACAAAATTGCAAAATAGAGGGCGAATAATCTTGCTTTAGCAATCTACTTGCAACATGATCTGGCTCACAAGTCTGAAAAACCACAAAAAGTGGCTGAGCACAAACCTCTTTCTCCATTCTCTGAAGAAAATGATTTGTTTTGCTGGCCATGAACTGGGATAGTTGTGAATATAGGTAAAGATCCTTAGAATGAGGAATATATTGAAAACACTCAATACTAGATCAAGAGGTTTTCAAATTACAAGCCTGAAGTAGTTGAGACCTCTTGAGATGATGAAAAGAAAACTGCTCAAGAAGCTATACATTCAAAATGGAAACTCTAACAGAATGTAAGAAATAAAAGCTGGATGACGAGTAAAAAAAGTGATCGTATTCTTCCTTTTCACCTTAATGGCTTAAGATCATCTTTTGTGATTGATATCCTTTTTGTATGTACAGAATGATGTGCAAAACAACTCTCTGCAAATGGCTTATATTAAGCAAAAGAAATCTGACAAGATTGTGTTAAGATTGGTTGTGGAGAAAAAGGTAAATATGTAAGAAGTTCTTATATGTAATGTATGTGTTTATAACAAGTTTTGGTGGGTGGATGATGAGTTGAATTGCAAATTGCAGAGAGAGATAAAGGAGGCTCTAAAGAAACTGCTTGAGTTAGAAAGGGAAATTGAAGAGTTAAAAGGGAAGTTGCAGGTATAAAGCATTTTGGGGATGAAGATGATGCTGATGTTCAGGAGAAAATCAAGGAGATGAACAATGAACTTGAAGCAAAATGGAAGAAATGCAGAACATGGAGAATTTGACTCGAACACTAGTGGTTAAGGAACGCCAGAGTAATGATAATTGCAAGATGCTCGCATAGTGTTAATTAAGGTACTATTTCTAAATTATAAACCTATGACTAAATACCATTAATCTTTTTAATACTTTTATAAATTAATTGTAATTGGTTTGTGTTTAGTGATACCAGTTTTGTTCAGTTCTCTAGAGAACACCTTTATCTGTGTATCAAATTTTGATATGTGATCTTATGTGATAAAGTACAACTTCTTTACCTGATTTGAATATTTAGATGGTCATTTAAGTGCATTAGTGATGTTGTGAATTGTTTTCAACATGGTACTTTTGTTCCCTTTCACTAGTTTTCTTATGAATATCTTATTATAGCTTTTAGTTAACTATTTGTAATTTTATACCTTGTTATATGCTTAGATACATCTTGAAAAGAGCCTGAAGAGGAACAATGACAAGCAGCTAATAATAAAACATGAATTGCGTTTGAAGGTATATATATATATATATATATATATATATATATATATATATATATATATATATATATATATATATATATATATATATATATATATATATATATATATTCACTAAGTTCTGTAATGTAGTAATGTATATAAGATTTACTTCATTAAAATTCAAATGTGCTTAAAATGGTTTTATTTATTTTGATTTTTTTTTATTTTTGCAGGTCAAAACATGGCTCATGGTGAAGAAATTACTTTTACATTGTTGTTTATTTGGTAAAATCATCCGTTCTTAAATGTTTAGTATTTTAGTATCATATTAAATTAATAATACTTTGAAACTTTTACATTAGAAAATGGTGTGTTATGTTCCCTTTAAACATGTGATACCTAAAATACCCTTACACACATCACACATATTTGTTAAAAAAATATGTTTTTTTACAGTGATGAATGGGATAGAACTGCACAACTAGAGATTTTGGCCATCCATTTTTCGACAATGGAGGAATAAAAGCTTATTTAGGAGTGGTTTATAATTATTTATTATTTATGTTTAAAAAAGTTTCTATTAGATGTTCATGAGTTTAGCGTTTTTTATTATATTTTTTTTGCATAGGAGTTCTTTAAAATTATCTATTATTTATGTATGTTAATATATATATATATATATATATATATATATATATATATATTAGATTTTTCCGAGCTTTGTGTTTTTCTATTACATTTGTATGCATTTAATATAGAATAATGTGGATTTTTATGTAATTTTTTCTAAAAAATAAATTTCTATTTACTGACGGCTTAGCGACAGAATCTATCACTAAAATAGTTGTATATACTGTCGGTAATCTGTTGAAAACATGTTCCGCCAGTGATCTGTTGAAACTCGTTCTGTCGGTAATTTGTTACTATTTGCATACGGAAAATCAGTCACTAAAATTTTGTCATAGCCGTCGGAAATCTGTTACAAAAAATTAGTGACAAGAATATACCTACGAATTTTGGTCTGTTGCAAATCTATCAGTCAGGCCCATTACTGACAGATTACCGATGGTTTTTACCGTTGGTAATGCCCTTTTTTGTAGTAGTGTCAATAGAAAAAATACTTTGACTATAACATTTACATCTCAAAACTATTATTGATGGTTTATGTCATTGTTGTCAAAATGACTTATCTTGACGATCCTACCATCAAACAATAATCATGATTACAACATGATCGATTTAGGGGTAAAATCGATATAAGACTAAAGGACCGTCAATGTTGGGTATCACTTACTTTCTAGTTTTTATTAATACCATTTATTTATAATTCTTGTTTCCATGATTGTGGAATAGTATGGTTTTATGTTTTAGGACAATGTGTTTTATCTTGCTTTCATTGTATGTGGTAGAATGTATGTGATGGAGGAGATTAAAGAGAATAAGTGATTTTTGCTTTAAAAGAGGAAAATGATATTTGATACACCATTTGTCATATTATATTACATAGTTATATTTATAGTTTTATATGCTTACCACTTATGTTTGAACTTTTTACAACTTATGAATAAATGGATTGTAACACCCGAGTTTCGACTGTTTTTCCATTCTATGACTGGTTGTAAGAACCTAAAATTTTGAGAAGATTGACTTTTAGTCAAATATTGATCAAAAGGGCAATTTGGTCATTTATAAGAAAAAATGAGAATATGAAATTGTAACATCATAAAAATGGCCAAGAAGAGTTTAAGTCGCTAAAATGAGATTAGATGAGTAAGTTATAGAGAAAGAATCCACGAGAAGATGCATTTGGCTAAAAGGATAAACTGGGTATTTTTATACTTTTCAACCTAAGTTTGTGACTTAATATACTGGGACTTGTATTAAGTCAGTGAGAAGTGATTTAATGGATGTATAGAGTATGTTCCCACCTTCGCGTGCATATAATAATATCGAAAATGGGTAAGAAACGAAGAAGATATGAGGGTTCAAACTTGGGATAAAAAGTCACAAAGCTAGAATCCATCTTTGGTAACCGTTGTCAAGCATTTTCTGTTCTGAGGTAAATGCATTTTTCAACAAGGAAAACATTTAAGTGGCCATTGATTTCTGGTCAAGAGGTATCTGCAGCGCGGAAACGATACATAACAAGAGTTTGTTAAGGCTTCATTCTCATCATTTTGCACCCCCACACCCTCCCATATGATGGTCCGATGATTTTGAGAAGAAAAAAAGGAGGCAATAGGCGATCTATGGTGCATATGGCTTGGATTGAAGGTGGAAAACACATGAAGTAATCATTTACTCCTTAATTAAGCTAATTAGGGCTTTAAGGGTGTTTTGATTAATTGGTTAGATTGTTTGGTTTAATTAGTATATAGATGAAGTATGATGTTATTGATAGTGTCTAGAAGCTTTAACCAAGCTTAGAAAGTGATTTCCATGGTGGGATCAATGTATGTGAGGCTAGGCTTTGAAACACTAACTAATTGGATTATGAATTGATGCATTAGAGTAGATTATAATGAATTAGGTATAATTGGATGCTTAATTCATTAATTGTATAAGATTAAGATATAGAGAATGAAAAGATAGATTAAGGATCGATTAAGTGGGTATGTTGAATTTTAAGAGTCAAAAGCTATTAATAGGCTAAAACAAGTACTAAGAACTTTTATGTATGTATGATTAGGTCAAGAGCAAGAAAGATGGATCAAGATGCATCAATGATAGAAAGAAGCTAAAGTCGAATTGTTAGTCTTCACTAACTGACAAGGTGAGTTATATGTGCTAAATGTATATTTGGGACAGTTAAAAGAATGAATATATGTTGAAAGCTTTTATGTGAATTAAATCTTTATTATCTGGAATATACGCTAAATGTATATTTGGTAATATTACATAACATATATTGTGCAAGCAAGATATTGTAATATATGTATTCAATGTATATTTGGTAATACTACATGAAAATCTTAGCATAAGTATTATTACTTAAAAGGATTAAATGTATACTTAATACTTACTCTTCTGTTCTAAATGTATACCTATATTATGATTCTATTGCATAAGCAAGAAATTGTATTGGAAGTTGATTTCAAGGATTGTAGCCTTGTTGAGTTATAAAATAAGACATATAAAGGATTATTGGTTCCAAGTAAGTTGAATAAGTTAGTAATTATACCATGTATTATGATAGTACTAAATGAACATGAAGACTATATTGAATTACAGGCATTGAAAAATGGTATATTGATAAACTATAGCTTGTCAAGGATACCTGGTTCAAAGTAATTTGAATTAGTAGGTAGT